AATTTTGTCAGCTTCTTTGAAAAAATATTCCGACAGGCCCTGTGTCAGAGGTTGCCTTCCATAGGGGGTGGGCCGATAAAAAATGGAATGTCCCCTTCCTCACTGTATAAATATGTTTAGCTATATTGTATAGCACTGAGATTTTCCATGTGAGATGTGACAAGGACTGGTCATGATTTGCAGGTGTTAATCAGGGCATATGTACTTAATCCCCAGTCATTGTAAAACGCAGACTGCAGACTGGGTGTAAATGCAGACTGAGGGTAAAATGCAGACTGTAGAGTGCAGACCAGGGGTAAAAATAATGCAGACTGAGTGACATAAGATATTAACAATAAAAAACAAGTCATAAGGATAAAATAAAGAGTGTTCGTACCCATAAAATGTTTTGCTTGATTAAATGAAGTTGAATGTTGTATACGTTGAGTCTCAGCATATCTTCTATGAACGCTATCTTCTGTGAATGCGGACGTATTTCCGACTGTTGCTCGTCTCCGCCGAAAAATAACGTCTGCGAACCCGAGCCAGGAAATGATTTTTCTGATGTAGGAATTTTAAGCCTATCACAGTTTAGCTCGAGTAGCCCCAGAACTACTGTGCAAGGTATTCGCTGCGAGGAGCACTCAAGTTTCATTTTATCATGGAATCTGATTGGCCAAGGAGAAACAAAAGTCATTACATCACAGAAATTATTTCCTGGCTCGGGTTCGCAGATGTTATTTTCAGCAGAGACAAGCAACAGCCTTTTTTTGTTGTTGTTGTTGAAAGTTTTGACACTTTAATTGTGATTCACACTACTTACAAACAATGGTATGTCTACTTACACTATTTACAAAAGTAATAAAAATACTAAGGTCCATTACATTACCGACAAAACGTTTTTATACAATTCAATTACTTACAATTCAATTACTTACACTACTTACAATTCAATGCAATTACAGGAGCTACTTACAATAATACAATTTGCATAACTTACTTTACTAAACAATACGAATACTTATTTAACTTACGATACCACTTCTTACACTACTTACAAAATAATATGATTACTGATGCTACTTACATTCATATTAAAGCAATGAGCAACAAAATA